AATGTCACAACAGTGATGCGGCCATGTGACTTATCAGAAAGGTGTGAAAGTTATAACGAAGAGTTCAGGTGTTGTTGGTGCACCCGCCGGGATGGATCCCCGTGACCTACCCCCACTCTCGCGCTTGACTAAGGAATTGCAACAAATAGCGGCTGATCGATGTTAGTGACGCTTGTTCTGTCAGTTTTTCTTCAGATTCTGATTGACGAGAGTTTGCAGGCGTAGGCATTCGGGAATGCCTGCGATAGTCCAACACCAGGTCCCCTCTTTCACCACACTTTTTCTCTTCAACGTGATTACATATGATTAGGTTTAGTTTGTTATTGGTACGGCAATGAAGCGTCAATGCCAAACCTCTGAAAGTATGTGTCTGTTCCGATCTCTGTAAGCTGGTCGATAGCACTTCCAGAGTGCATGTCATGTGGCATTATACACGGAGAAGACCAGGCCGTCTCGTCGTCACCTTTTATCTACCTTCTTCGTTTTGCGCGTGAACTGTTGAGTGTGTTCCTGTATTTTTATTCTGATGAGCATCTGACAATAATTGTTATGCAACTAATGAATAACGAGGTGGTGCTGCCGATATTCACTTGATCTCTATTCAATAGGCCTGTACTATCCCCGAGAGCATCCACGTCTCTGGATTTGAGGTACCTCCCTCCTTAAACTTGATATTTTGTGAATGCTGAATCCAGTATTCTCATCTCACTTTTGGGGCTACGTTCTAAGGAACCCCCACGGTTTGTTCGCGTTCTCTGTAGGTCCTGTATTGCTCCATTTTCTGAAGTTGCCCGACATTTCCTTAAATCTCTTGTTATCAGGATCCGGATGCTGAGGCTTTTCTCGCACGGTTCTATAAGTTCGACTTCACCGGAATCCAAACCCCACCTCAGGTGTCAACCGGTAAACGGTCTGGTGGCACCCAGGTAGCGGGTAAGTCACTGTTGTATTCAGCAGTCGGGGTGTGGTTGTGCATTACCGTGTTACCTCCATAAATGGGGTTTTGCGTAACGGTTATGTAAGTTTTTTCATCGGTCGCAGTGCCTGAATTGAATCTACTGACCTCACGACTTACTCTACTGCTTTCTAAGTTGTGATTCACTCTGACATTGTATTCAAACCCGGTTTTCCTTGAGGAGGTTGATTGGCGGGATGCATAAAAAGTGAAGCAAGAAGTTCTTGTCGCTCTCTGGCTGCTCTCTGGAGCTGATCGTTTTTATGGCACTTATTACTTATATTCACACAAGGCGATTATGTAACTCAAGCGACTCCAGTTGAGATCAGGTTAATTCTCTACTGTCAGTAGCAGCTTGGTTCATCAGTAGCGTACAATTTGGTGTTCAGACAGAGTCCAAGGTTAATGGAAACTTGAAGGCTCGAAAGGCAAGACCGGTAGTGGGTTATTGCATCTGTTGTGAATGTTTTGTTTGGTGTTCAAACAGAATCCAAGGTTGATGGAAACTCGAAAGCTTCGCCCATTTGATAAGCCTCAGAAAGGCAAGACCGGCTGTGGGTTATTGCATCTGTTGTGAATGTTTTTCAGCAGGTAAAATTGCTGCCAACATCCTGTGATGTATGCAATCCAGCCTGTGCTTATGAAACAAGACTCGTCTACCTGAACCGTTTATCTCCGATTGGTCGGTATTCTGGCCAATCAGAGGCATCTGAATGAGATCCTTAGCCATTTAATCGTCCAATCCTCGAGCTGTTCTGTCATTCCGGGAGTCCACCCCCGAACACGAAAGGATCTACGTAGATTAGACTGAATTTCTCTGGTATGCACTGTTTTACGTTATAATCGCGAGATCCTAAGCGCGCACACGTGACTGGCGTCAATCGGCGCATCCCAATCGATCGGAATCGAGTTGACAGAGGTGGACGTCGTTTGACTCCTTATTTGTTCGTTTGTCTTCTTATTGCGAGTGTTGTTTCATGGTGTCCTATATGTGAACCGATGCAATCGGGGTGTCATTTTCCGATTTCATCAGCTCTGTACGGTTACTGCTGTTGGATAGTTTTACCAAAATCATCTCCCTATACCTCTGCGGTGTTAGCGAATTTTCATTATTCCCATCGCTTTCCCACTGTGGCTAACAGATAAGGAGTACGAAAAACCGGCTAAACGTCCACATGTGGAAACTCCAACCCAGCCAGCGCCGCCTTCAAAAAAGAAAACCACATCCTCTGACGTTTCAAAGACGGCCAAACCTCGAAAGGTTCAAGATAAGTAAGAGCACTACTACTGTTCGCCCTCTTTTGGTTCTGTACAAAAACGCCAACATGTGTGAACATTCATCTACCTGTCATTCTTTACAGATCCCTCCCGACCACCAAATCAACCAGCAACAGACCGACTCCGCAGAGAAGAGTCAGCAGACCGCAGCTCCCCGGAGCCCGCCTTCTTGGTTCTGCTCCAGCGGTGACTACTGATAGTCAGTCAGCTACTCCTTTACGTCCGCAACGCGTATCATCATTGCGTTTGCGAATCAGAAAAGGTGCAGATGGCTTGCAATTCTCGCCAGCACATGACCCATCCCTGTCCTCTCTTTCGCCCCCCACGTCAACATCGACTGCCAGTACGACTGGTGCAGAACAAGTAAGCTATTGATCCTAACTTTAGATGGGGGTTGTTCGAAAAGAGTTTCGGTTTATCGGGGAGGGGATATTTTCTGTAGATGGCCGGCAAATATGAAGAGCCTCCGAGGCCTTCTGTACTTTGCCATCACTTATTGTGGCAACCGTTTGATGTTCCCAACAGTCTATACCATGCCAAGCTATCGAAGTTTACAGGAGCTAGGTCATGTCCGAGTGGTAGTCATCTCATACTTTTGTATGTGACTAGATGGGTACTTCTGGGCCAATGATATCGCCAATGTGATAATTTCTCTAGGAAGTATGGGGCAGCGCCGAAACCAGAACACATCCCTTGATGGATTCTGGGAGAGGCTTGTGTGGGAGACCGCAGTAGATGAAAATCCTGTGACATTTTTCTCAGAGGGGAGGTTTTTTGAGGATAAGTATCATACACTGACAGTTTTGCTCCGCAAAGAAGTTAGCCAAATAACCGTGGGTTGTTATTTGTCTTGTGATTCTCACATACTATCTCTAACTCCCATTGAAAAATCGTCTATCCTTTTCCCTCAGGTTGTCGACGAATCTTCAAAATTGACCCAGGAACCTTTACGGATCACAATCAAGGCCATATCCGCCACATCTGCCACGGATGGTAAAGCTGAATCACCTACCCCATTGAGCACGGTGTTTTCCGTTTCCAACCCGCCACTGGGCACCACCGTGGACGGCGGTACGCCTACACCCTCAGGGACAACTTCCAGCTCGATTTCAACGGCATCATCAACAGTGTTGGCGACAACAACGCTCACAACCACCGCGAGCACACTGATGGGCGTAGGCAACAATTCGGCGATTATGGCACGGAAAAAATCCACAGCGGTTGTAACTCCCTTGCGCCGTGACAAAGTGCTCCCTCAACTAAGTGATGAATCAGCAGACCTGTCTTCCGTATCCGAGGATGAGGTCGCTGTTGGCCGAAACGACAGAAAGCGAATCAATGCACGCAATGTTCCTACTAGAAGAGACAAGCACAAAGCTGTCGATATCGATCGTAGTCCACTTCGGTTCCTCCATACAGATACGAGTGTTTCACACAGTCGCCTGAAACGAAAGAAGAAAAAGGAAAATTCTTTAACGAAAGAGGCTGCAAATGCCAACATATCGTCATTCGGGGGTAGTGGTTCGGAAACTGGGAGTTGTTCCGCCACTACCTCCCCTTGGGCCTCAAACGACTGGTCCAAAAGTGGCGTAAGTTTCTCAACAATATAGTTTACGCTACTCAAGCACCGCCCAGTTTCCCGTTAGCATAGAGATTTTCTCAATACGTATGACGCGAGAATCATACTCTCTTGAACCTAGTTCTTGCACTACTTGTTCTAATGGGTATTTACTCTTTCTGCTATTTGTACAGTCGCACCGCTTATAAGGGGTCACTAATTCATCGAGTGGACCTGTCGACCAGGAGTAGAGTTAGCCAGCCAAATATTCTCACTTTTAGATCTGCTTCGTTGAAGGGTGTTCATGTCTGTATATCTCTTCCAAATCAATGTAACCGTCCGTTTGAATAGGTTATTCGTTTTTTTTTGTTTCATTGCGAAACGGTGTAGTTCGTCGGGAATTTCTGCCACATGTCCTTCCCACATCACCTGTCGCCCATGGGTGGATCATGTAAGACATTGAAAGCGTTTCCGCGTGAATAGTCATCTCTGTCTCGGTGTCTTGGTTCGTCCCATTCTTTAGATGGTACTGTGCGATTGTCTGACACGTAGTTTTTTTTTGCAAAGGAATTATGAACTGATCAAAATCGCACACTCGTGCGGAAGTCTCCAGTATTGTGAATAAGTGTGAAGTCCTTGCTTCAGCTTATCCAGGTCTGTTCAGTTAATTCTTCGGTCCGTTAATACTCTCATCTACACTCTCGGCCCCGCCGCAACTATTAAGTTTGGTCTCCATCAAACCAGAACGGCGTTGGATTCACTTTCCGCTCTCGTTCGAGCTCATCAGCTTTGTATGTCTTTGACACTGCCGGGTTTTAAACTCCGTGTTTCCCTTAATCCAAACAAACTATTTTCCCGCAGGTTTCAGGTCTCCGTGATTCCACCTGGGTTGCAGCCCTTATAAGTTCGTCATCGACACAACCACGACTATAAAGTGGCCAGCCTGTTTTGAAATGCCGAGAAGCATTGTTGGGCAATTTCCTTACTGGAGGTCATCAAATTTCCGGGGGCATTCGAATCAGTGACCTCCAGGTTAACAGTTGAAGAATAAACCGTTTGACCACGATCACCTGACCGCTGGTGTGGTAAACTCGCACCTAGGCTCTAGCGCCACTCATCTCTGCATCATGTGATCGTGTGATGGGTCGAGAATTCTCGGGTGAAAAATTCACTCGTCGTGTGAATTATTCTTGATTCTGATGTGATTAAAGTTAAATACCATTTACTGCTTTTCTGTCGTTGTTACTTTGGTCGGTTCTATCCACACTAGGCAGGCAAACTCCACCATCAGGACAGTTTTTACCCAAGGTGATTCATAAAGGAAGCTACTCATAAAGTTGCTGAAAACTCTTCGACAGCCCACGACCGGTTTCGCCCTTCTTGGGTAGGTGGCGCAGTCCCAGTCCTTGTGAGTAGTTTCCTTTATGAAAATATACTGCGATATCTCGATTGTCGTGCCAACTGAAACATGAGGCGTCCTGTGTGCAGCACATTCAGTTGTAGAATATCATAAACAAGGGATTCAGTCAAGCCCCTCGTGAAAACCAAATTGACTTGCACTTGAGTGTATTTCTCGAGATGATTCATGTTTTCCCGTTATGGAACTCTACATATTTCCCTAAATCTCATACCAGTGATGATCACGTGCCTGTTGTTGATTAGTCGGGACCGCTTGGAGTGTTGATCAACCGAAGGACATCTAGACACGCAGTCAGTCTTGCATACAAAATAAACGCTTGTTTAGTCTGAACGTAACATCTGTGCTGTTTGCATGCATAAGATGTTAAACTCAGAAAATTCTAAACAGGCAGTTGAAAAGATCAGGAACCATCACGTGACGCTGCGGTAGCAGCTTGGATAATAAACTAATGACAATAAACACGTTTTATGAGCACTGGGTCTAACCTAATCGGCATCTTTTAGTCTTTCTCACCAAATCCTTTGGTTCTGCATAGCCCACATGATATTCTGTCGTTCAGTTGTTTAGGTGTGACTCTCACGGGTGCGTCATGCCTTTTAGTTCCACTTGTGCCTGGTAACACCAAAACATCTGTAGATGTCCGGAAGAAGCAGTCATAAGGCTTATTGGGTTCCGTCAAAAAGGGTTCGTTTTTGCGCCGTCAGCTGATTAGTGCTCATTGTCGGTTGCTTGGTCAAAGTGGCATATGCAATTGAACAACCCCTATCAAAGGAAACAAGTTTGAAGCTTGAGGCGTTTCATTTGGAAGTGACATCAGGTCTTGACATAATTCTGCCATCTTCCGCTCAGCCAGCGAAGGAGATGATTCATCTCTGAGTTCAGTCCACTGCTGTCTATCCGGACTTGGCTGGCGCAACTCAACGAAACTAGATCATGTTCGTATGCTCCCTCCCCCGTCCAGTGGTTGTTGTCAGGCGAAATTTATTGCAGTCCCGGGTTGTTCTGCTTCTGGAAAGCCAACTAATGAGGTGGCTACCGTAAGGGTTGCGTCTGGGGGACTTTGGTTTGGGAAAACAACCCATAGCATTCTCTCTATTCACCTACCTTCCGATTTTTGGTCGAGCGTCTGTCAATGGTACCAAAATAGAGAAAAAAGAAAGCGTTCCTTCGTTTGAAGATTCATTCCTCTTTGAACGGAAATTAGTACCCGAAAATGCAGAACCTTTTTTTGACAGCTTTTCCCTATTCTCTTTTCACCAAGTCATCTCAGACGGGCACCGAACAACAGTCTCCCAAGGATGCCCAAAAGAAGTGAGTTACGGGGTTTTTCTGTTTCGCTGTGTTTAAAACGTACCATAATTGTGGAAATGGCGAGTATAGTTAAGAGCCCGAGGTAGCTCAGTGGCTAAGACGCAACCAAAGGGCTCCGTGGGTTCGTACCGAACCCGCTGTGCACCTCGACTTCCCCTGTCTAGACTTGTGCAGCCTGGCAGTATCCTAGCTCTCGTGCTTCCTTGGCGTGGCATCTAAACCGGACACTGAGTGTTACAGCTAAACCTATCTTTTTTTTATAGTGGGACGTGCGCTCATGTATGGAAAAGCCTACCGAATGAAAATGCTGTGTGCTATCTACTCCAAAGCAGCTTTTTTTGCGCAGATACCAATTAATTCGAATTAGGCTCAATCAAACGCCTGCCTTAGTTGTCCTCTCCTCAGACGTGTGCTTTTTACCCGTAAAGTATGGAACCTAAAGTTTGAAAATACCCTCTGTAATTCACCTAGAGACCTTGGAGGTCGTAGAACGCCTTGATGTCTCGGTCGTGTACTATACCCGTTGAGTTATCATCTGTTGAGCAGGAACTAAAAGTGACACAAACAAAAATATGATGTGGCAGAAGGGAAGTTATGGAAGGTCTGTGTGCTGTCCGCGTTTGAGATTATGAACGATAATAGTAGTCCTGCCGTAACAGCCTTTCAGTGGCTAGCTGCCATGCCACTCGAAGGAAGCACGAGGGCTAGGATACGGCTAGGTCAACCAAGCCTAGACAGAAGCAGTCGAGATACCAGGTTTGGATCCGAACCACCGACCTTCCGGCCAGTTGGTTTGTGCCCTAACCATTGAGGTGTCTCCAAATATTCTCCCCGTTATCTTCCTCATGATCTGCTTGGAGTGCCATGAAATGTGGCGGCCTATCTTCGTCAGTGGTCTTCATGCTGTTCGCTTCTATCCAGATTGTCACAAGCGGCAAGTTAAGTTGAGTCTGTTTATCGTGTCTGCCTATGCCCCAACTGATTGTAGCTCTGACACCGTCAAAGACGGGTTTTACGACGCCCTGAATGCTCTGCTGCGGCGAGCTAAAAGCTCAGACATTGTGGTGGTTGCCGGAGATATGAATGCGCAAGTGGGCAGGCTCAGTGCATCTGAGACTCAATTGGGAGGTCGACATGGACTGGACTCGGTACGTACGGACAATGGGGAACGATTGCTTCAGCTGTGTGCTGATCGCAGGCTGTTTTTATGCAGTACTAACTTCCGAAATAACCGAAGTCGTCTGGCCACTTGGTGCCCTCCTACAACAGGCCGGCCACAAACTCAAATCGACCACATCGCCATCAGTTACCGATGGCG